GAACTTCCAGCCCCACCTCATGACCTCCAGGGAAGAAAGAGGGTCTGGAGATAGAGGTCAATCACCAGTAGCCAGTGATTTAATCAATTATGCCTACTTAACGAACCCTTGAACCCTCCATAAAAACCCCTAATGGGTTTGGGAGCTTCTGGGTTGGTGAACACATTGATGTGCTGGGCAGGTGGTGGGTTTGGAGAGGGCTTGGAAGCCTGCTGCCACCCACCACTCCCTCCCCTAATAACCTGTCCTAGATATCTCTTCCCTTTGGCTGTATGCTTTATAATAAAGCTGTAATCGGAAGTAGAGAGCTTTCCTGAGTTCTGTGAGTTACTCTAGCAAATTGTCAAACTTAATGGGGAGCAAGAGTTGTGGGAACCCCCAGTTTGTAGTCACTGGGAAGAAATGTGTGTCACTTGGGGACCACACTTTGCACTGATGTCTGAAGTGGGGGCTGTCCTGTGAGACTGAGCCCTGAAAATGTAGGGTCTGCACTAACTCTGGGTAGATAGTGTCAACATGGAATTGGATTGTTGGACACCCAGCTGGTGTTATAGAATTGGAAAACTGGTGTAGAAAAATGACATGTATTTGGTGTCAGAAAAAAACTACACATTTGGTGTAAAAAGTGGTATCTGAAAAAGTCACACGGTTGTGTGCTTTTGTGGAAGAAAGTAGAGAGAATCAAGCCTATGTGTCTGTACATGTCCATATTTTCACAATGAAACAATAAACATAAAGTAATAAACATGATTATGAAGAGCAAGGTGAGCAGGGACAGGGGTGGGGACCAGACATTCCTGTGTACGAATTTTTGGAGCTTTAATGTTTGAATCATGAAAGAATCTTCCTTGTTAAATGCTTTCATTTTTTAAATCATCATAAAATGATTATAAGCCTTAGTTCCTCACTGTCCTGCCATTAACTAATTATATGCTAGTGTAAGTGAGCGCTCTGCCCACGGGTTAGGACCATGAGAATACTCCTAGTACCCATATCATGGAATTAAAAGGAGGATTTTAAAAGGTGGCAGTACTTTGAATAAAAAACTGTATGTTTGGATCCCTCACAGTACCTTACACAAGGACAGTCCCCTAAAAACATCTGTGGAATGACTGACAATCAAGAATAAAGCTTTATGGGGAAACCTGCTCCCTGGATAAATTAAAATAGCTTGCTAATGATAAGCCTGCATTTTTCGATGTTAAACTCAGACTCAAATTAAGGGAAAAAAAGAAGAAGAAATACTATGAAGGCAAGGGAGAAATGGAGAAAATACATACTCTAAATGAAGTTCAATTAATAGGAATTCTGGAACTCAGAGAATGGCAGAGTAGCTCTGCTGGGGGAAGGATAGAATGTCTTCCAGAAATTTTATTAAAAGGGCAGGTGAGAATATTCATATTTAAAAGTCATACCAAGTGCTAATTGGTATGAATTGGAGGGGAAAAAATTCCCACCCTGACACTTGATGCTAAAACTTCAGAACATCAAGGATAAAGAGAAAACCCCTAAAGCCATGAGAGGGAAAAGACAAAGTACGTATGCAGGAAGACAGTTGTTCTTAGAGATTTCTAATCAACAAAAACTGATGTCAAGAGAGAATGAAATAACATCCTCAAACAATGGATGGAATACAGCTGTCAACCTAAAATTCTATCCCCAGCCAAACTATCATTTATAAATTTCAAAATAAAACTCATTTCAGATGGACAAGACATAGATAATTCACTCCTTATGGAGTTCTCTGTAGCAGGAGTTGGCAAGCTGCAGCCCATTGGTGGAATTTGGCCCACCAATTGCTTTTGCAAATGAATTTTTATTGGAATACAGCCATACCCATTCAGATATGTAGTATCTACAGTTGCTTTATAGTCACAATGGCAGACAGACACCCAATGGCCCACAAAACCAAAAATATTTACTCTCTGGTCCTTTACAGATAAATTTTGCTGATTCCTGTTCTATAGGACTCAGTAATTACATGTTTTTATTCATTCATATTTGAACAGGCACTGTGTGTGTGTGTGTGCCAGACCCAACACATGGTGAGATGAAAAATGTCAGTTCCCTTGTCCCAGCAGATAAGAGGCCTTGTATGGGCCCTGTTAGAGGCGAGCCCTGTCTTCTGGGAGATGGTGCTATGGAGCAACGTCAGGAGGCATAGTCTAGCGGTGTGTCTAAAAACAGCAAAACAAAAACCTGTCTTGACACAGACAAGGCAGCCCCCACTTTGATTCTCATCTGTTTCAGCTAGGGAGCTTGTTCAGGCCCTGCCCATTTCAGGCATGTTGAAACGGTTCAAAGGTCACAGAGTTGAATTGGGTTCCTTGTGTGTCACAAACATGAGCATGCTCATGAATTCCTCATTGCTCTCACTTCCTGCCAGCTCTCCTCCCACCATGCTCTGATGCACAGCTGATGCTACACACAGCCTGAGCTCCCTGGCCTTCCCTCATCACGGCTCCCTGCCGTGCCCTTCTTCCAGCCTTCACTCCTGCCCTGCCCCTACCTGGGTGCCCTGCCTCCATTGCTTACCTTGGCTCACTCCTAGTCATCTCCTCCAATATTCCTCCCTCTACCCCCAGATTGGGTCAATATCCCTCCCCTTCATCTGGTTATATATTGCATTATAAGCGTCTACTGAGTGCCTTCTATTGCAGGGCAGTAGAAGGTGCTAAGCGCTTATCTTACCTCTGTGTCCAAATGGCTTTTCCTCCATCTCCACCCTCTTCCTGGTGCTGATACACATCCAACGTCAGGATAACCAAAAGGGACATTTGCTATGCTTTTCACAGTGAGGGGAAGAGGCATGAATGCCCCTCAGGAGATGAGCAAAGCAGAAGCCCTTGAGAAAGGTCTGATGACCTGCAGACGGTGCAAGTCTCTCCAAACATGGTGTTGGAAGTTGAGCCCGACTTGACCCTGGTGGTTCTTGCTAATCATGTAGATAAATAGGAATTGACATAAAGTGGATTCATGATGGGGGTCCATTCAAATAAAGACAGAAGAGAAGAAAAGAAAGAGGAGAGAAGGGGAGGAAAGAGAAGGGCAGGAAGAAAGGAGAGAGGGGAGGCGACAGGTTCCTTCTCATCAGACACCCTCCCAGGTCCCAGGGGATTCTTCTTCTCTGGCATGAATTCCTAATACCTCTGGCTCTTCCATTCATCACCCCACCTGTTGTCATTTACTCAGTACATCATCCTGAAATGCTGGAAAGATTAATGAGACATGCCCGACAGAAGGGTGGCTGCGTTCGTTCATCCTGGCCCCTGACAGTTACTAATTCTTACAGTTTCCCTGCACGAAATACCACGGAGATCTAACAATTCTGAGCCTTCCTGCCAGCAAAGAAGAAAGAAATTGCATAATCAATGATGGAAGGACCCAGGTGGCTTTCTAATGGTCTGAAGAACAGGTAACTTGATTTGCTTCAACTTTGAGATGCTTAAGACTTCATATAAAAGACTTTTGGGACTTAGGGAATAGATGTCTTCCAGAGCAGGTAGGGAAATCCACTATCCTGACGATGTCTGTAAGTCAAAGTCTATTACTTTGAGGAACACTCTAGATTCAAGATGTGCTTCCAAGAAAAATTTTTAGTAAAACCAAGCTGGTGACTAGTTCAGGGACAACTTCGAAGACTTAAAGACTGTTATGCCTTGTGTAAGTTTATGATTAAAAAGTGTTTTTCCACATTACATAGTTTCTTTCTATTTGGTCTCTCAGTAAGGCTAGGGAGGGCCAGGGTCATCATACCCTTTTTATAAACAAGGAAACCAAGGCTCAATTTCAGAGTGGTCCCCCTCAGCAATTTGGCGGCACAGCCAGGTCACCAGACTCAACAGTCCCTTCTGCTGTGCCTCACAGGCATGCTGCATGGGCAGGCGGGGGCCCCAAGCTCAGAAGGGCCCCCTACTTGGTTTAATGCTCTGCAGTGCTGTCTTGAAATTCTCAGAACTTTTGAACAGGGAGCCCTGAACTTGCGTTTTGCCCTGGGCCCTGCAAACACTATAGCTGGTCCTGCTTGCAACTCCGTGGACACCCCTTTTATTCCTCCACCCAGATCCCAGAAATGGTCACCATGTCAGGCCTCGACTACCCCCAGTTCCTGGACCCCCTGCTGTCTTCCTCCTTTCCTCCTGTGCTGCAGCAAGTAAAAGGGTCGCTGGATGCCCGGCCCCGTTCGTGCCCTGCAGGAACGCGGGCAGCTCCTGCGCTGCTTCACATTCTGCAGCATAAATGAGTCCCCAACTCTGTCAGTTCATCAAAGTCGAAATTCTCTAAATTGAGGTTAATTAAAACCAGAGTCTCTGGGGTTTTCTCAGGTCAGATGTGATCAAACCCACTCAGAATATTGGACTTCTCTTTGCTCTTTGGTGGGGGCTCTCTGTCCAGTTCCCGGCCTCTGATGATCTCCACCTCGTGACTCAAAAGCAAGAGGGCAGCGAGAGACGGGCAGGAGGGAGGGAGGAAGAGGAAGGAGACCCACCTATGCCCCCAACCCCATAGATGTCCTACGTGGCTTAAAGGCTTACAAACTTTGCAACTGATAGAGAACATCAAACAAAATGTGGTCATTTCCGTCTACTAATTCTCACAAACTACGAGCAGCAGAGAAAAAAGCTGATAGGGTCAAGTGGTGGCGGTGGCCCGACTGCTCTCTGCCTGCACTAGTGTTTCCGCACTTCCACGGCCTGTTGGGCCTCCCTAGAACGGTGAATGGGACGGTGCCAGGGGAGGGAGCCATCTCTCCCCCCAAATTTCTCTCTTCCTGGCTGCCTTGAGTGTTTGATCTTCCTCTGGTGGTCCCCAAGCCCTGCTCCTTCCTGGATATTCAAGCAGCTCCTTGCTCACCTCCCTCCATAATTGACTTTGGATGGATTCTACTTCCCGAACCATAACTCCCCTTCCACCCTCTCCGGAGGTCCGTGGAAAGTTGATGTGTCACCATGCATACACTACCAGCAGAAAAAAACCCACAAATCAGAGCAAATTTTGAGATTTTTTATTACGTATGTGACAGTATTTTCTGAGTGTTAGCACAATGAATGAATTTCTGTCCAAGATATTTTGCCACAGAGCCAAACAGCGCATATGTGTTATAAAAGTGTAATTCAAGCTCTAAGGAAAATGAGTTTTGGATTCAGAACGCGATTTAAAATCTCTCTCTATATATACAGTGTCTTTACTTTTAACAGACCCACATAAAGAAGTTGGAGTAGAGTGGTTTCACAATAAATAATCATTTATCTAAACTGTACACAGTCCTGCTAGCAAATCAGTGCCCTTTCATAGCTACAATCATTTATGCAATGCTCAGACAGAATTGCACATTTGGTGAAGGCCCGTGCTCTACCATTCATTGTCTTAAATTTCTCTACACTGTGACCTCAGCGTGCACCCAAATGCCGGTTCCCATGGCTCTGCCGCCGTCGGGCGGCGGGTGGCCTCTCCCCGGTAGATGATGTTACACGCCGCCGTGTCACTCTTTCGACATTCACAGTAATTTCAGTTTGGCTATAAGAGCACAGCTGAGAGAGATTGTGAACTGTCAGGCATTTCAATTGCCAGTTGTTGCCAATTATATAGATAAATAGGAATTTACATAATTTACAAAGAGTTTGTGTTTGTGGCTTATTTTGAAGCCATTCCCTAAAGATGCATATTTATTCATGAAAGCAAATAGTCACCCTAATAGCCTGGAGCTGGGGCCGCCTTTACTGCTGTATCTGGGGAACAAGACTGCTGTGAATTGGTCTGTCTGCAAAGGGCACAGAAAGTCGGTTACTGATCAAGGCTCTCTACTGCATGTCCCGGCGTTCAAAACCCTCAGGCATTCATTTTCTCCTTTTCTTATCACAAATATCAAGGTTTCTTTTTTTTTTCCTTTCTTTTTTCTATTCTTCCTCTTCTTCTTTTTTTGAGATATGTTCTTTTGGTGGGTACCCAGCACTGCTGAAAATTTCTGTCTCAATCCTATAAGCTGCAAACCCATCAACTCCTGCGCTGCTACAGCTGCGTCTAACTTGGTGCCCGCGGGCCTCTCTAGCTCACCGCACCTACCCTCTGTGAGGACAGGGACATGGGCCTGCTCCTGCTGCATGCACAGCCATCACAAGACGGACACGTGTGCAGTCGCAGCGTTAGCCTGGAGGCCACTTATTCTCCCAGTCGAAAGCCAGCAAGTGGCTTTGCAACGTGCCACACCTCTCCAAATATAATTTCCTGCAGGAAACCAGAGCTGGGGCATGAGGCCTCAGGGCACATCTGGGATCATTTTACCCATTAGGGAAACTGGGTCGCTGGGACTGGGGCCTTCTTGGGGTAGGGGTAGCTTGTGATGTGAGGACCCTGTGAGGGGTTTTCACCCCCAGGCAAAACTCATTCCTTAGCCTCAAAGAGGTGGAAACGTGAGCCATGCTGGAGCAGCAGCAGGCCTTCCTCAGACAAGGCTCCGCAGGCCGCTCTCCCCAGGGGCTCCTGAGGGCGGGGGAGCGGGCAGCTGGCGGGGAGGCACACTGCCAGGCCGGCGCTTGCTGGGGGAGGTCTAAAGCCTACTTGCTTTGTCTGTCCTGGGCTTCAGCCTGTCTTGGAAAAAAGAGGCAGAAGAGAAACAGGTCTGTTAGAAAGGCAGAGCTCTTGACTGGCACAGAAGGCGGCTCCCCCTGCCCTGCCTCCAGCCCGTTCCCTGTTTTGCACCGAATCTGCTCCCCAGTGCTCCTGGGCCATTTCAGAGCCTGCCATCCACCTGGGAGGGCGCGAATGAGCAACACCAGCAGATGCAGACGCTCGCTCCGCGCTCCCTGCGGTCGGTCCCGTCTTTGATTATCACCAGCTCAGGGTGGCAGCAGCTTCCGCTCTGAGAATGTGAGTCTGCAAATTACCAGCTAGCATCTTACAAGAAAGCAGGGGCTGTGGCTTGTTAAGAAAAGACTTTTTCTTCCCCAGTAATGCTTCTTACGGGAGCTTTACAGGAATCATAAAGACCTGGGAGAGCCGCCCTTCCAGGCCCACGGGACACCTGTGCTGCATCTCAGCTTCTGCGCATGGGGCAGAACAGTCACCACAGCAGCAGAAGCAGCGGGTGCTGGTTCTGTGCACAGCGCTGCTCCGCCCCACCCCCCACCCCGGACACAGCACAACCGCACCCCGGGACCTCTGCCCTTGCTGTTCCCCTGCCAGAAATCCCCTTCCCCTGCTCATCCCTCTGGCTCAATGCCTCCCTTTCCGCAGGTCTATAGCCAGCGTCACCCGGTCGGTGAGACGGCCCTTGTCCACCAATACCAAACTGGAACCACCCTGAACTTCCTACCCAGGCTGCTTCCTGTCCTGCAGGCTCTCTGGTTGTGTGCACAGTGGTCCCCTCATCCGCGGGGTCTCTGTCTGCGGTTCCGGTTACCCAGGGTTAACCCCAGTCTGGGAGCAGATGCTCCTCCTGCCAAATTGTCAGAAGGGCCACAGCAGCTGGCGCTGCGTCAGTGTCTGCGTCTCTCACCTCGGGTCAACCCCGCACCAGGCCCTTTATCATCTCACATCACAAGGAGGTGAGCGCAGGGCAGTGAGGTACGCAGGGAGAGACCACGTTCAAGGAACTGTCACGACAGCACGTTGTTGTAACGATCCTACTTCATCATGAGTCACTGTTGTGAATCCCTCACTGTGTCTGACTTATAATCAATCTTTATTGCACGTGTGTGTGAAGGAAAAGACACAAGATACACAGGACTCAGTGCCATCCATGTTGGCAGATGTCCACTGGGGGTCTCGGACCATGTCCCCCGCAGATGAAGGGGATGACTGTATTTGTTTGCTGTCGGCTTCTCCCATTATTTAAGTCCCATGAAGCCGACCCTTTGCTTTGTTCTCTGTTGTGACCTGACATCTAGAACAGTGCCCCGCACAACACAGGTGCTCAACAAAGCTTTGATGAATGAACACATGCGCCAATGAATAAATGATGTGACGGATGGGTGGTTTTACTCACATGCCTCCCTCACAGAGAGGCATCTGGGTTTGGGGTGAGGAAGAGAGAAAGAAGAAAAAGAATGCAGGGGCAAGTGGGGCCGGCTGGGACTGCCTCACCCCCTCCCGCATCTCCCTGCGGCCTCGGCCCTCCTCCGGTCCGGTTTTCTCATGGATGCCAACAAATGCCCCCCTGGACGACGGGAAGCGGCCTGCCAACCTGGGAAGCCGCCTGTATGCTGAGAATGGGTGACTCCCATTGATCAGCCTCTGCAGGAACCCAAGCCACCTCCAGGCTATTCTTATAAACACAAATTACCATCCGCTTGCCAATGGGTAGGCAAGTCATTAATAAGGCTTCTGATTGGGAGAATGACAAACCCGGTTTGGCTGCAGGAAGCCCTGAGGTCTCTCACACAAAAGAACAAGCAGGTTGACAAAGGTAATGAAACCAATATGGGGGCTCAAAGGGCAGCTGTCATTCCCCCCCTCTGTCCAGAACCAGCTGCCGTAAAGAAGAAACGTGACCAGCACAGGCTGCTGCAGGCGCAGAGACAAGACGTGGGCCTGGGAAGGCCAGCACTGTGGGTTCAGAGCAGCAGGCCGGCGCCATCCAGGCTGGACATCACGACGCTAAAACTACCGGGGATGCGGGGCTCAGCTCCCAAGACACCGGGCGCTGGCCAGGGGCTGGGCAGTGACAGCGGCCGTCCTCAGCTTCAGCCTGCTCTGCCCCCAGAGACGATCTGCCTACAGCATGGTTGCCACGGAGGCATTACCCCATGTGAGCTGGGGTCCCCGCTGGCCACCTTCCCAGACCAGATGCCACCCCCAACATCCTCTATGCCCCCAAAGGTGTGAGACCTGACAAAGCAGCCTCACCTCCCGGGATGCAGGCCCCCGTGGACACCCCTGGCCTGCTTTTCCTCTTCTGCGTCAAGTTTTTCTGCCATCCTTGAATTCCTGTGGAGAGAGAGCTGGTTTTAATGAGTCAACCTGCATTTCCATGCGGCTGGCTTTTCAGTGTCCAGTTATGACCCTCTTCCCCACCAAGGGGCGCCTTGGCGCATTCCCCAAGCCTGAGGCTGAGCGCTCGGTGGGTGGATTTCTACCAAGTTCTGCGTTACTCAGTCCTCAGTTATTCATCAGATATTGGAGGGCAAAGAAGGAAAATGCAGTTGGTACTGGGGTTTTCAGGCAGCAGACCTGGGCCCCTGATGACTAGGGCACCAGCTGCAGGAGCCGAGAGCTCACCCTCCAAGTCTCTTGCATGGGTGGGGAGCCCATGGGTCCCATCCCCCCAGTGCTGGCTCTGGGAAGGAGTTTTCAAGGGTAGCTCTGAGTAGGTTGATGAACTGTGGCCCAAAGTAAAGAAAAAGAGGAGGCGCATTTACAGGAATACCTAAAAGTGAACATGAATTTAAACGGCCATCCGGGTCCCGGCTGGGGTCTGCCTCCTTCCTACCAGCCCACACCAGTTCACAGCTGTCCGGCAGCTCGAGTAGGCCACTGGCTCTCACACGCCCGGCCTCTGGGGACCCCGAAGTAAGACGATGAGTAACTCAGGTGGCTGATTCTGCGCGTCTCCCTCGAATGTGCATGGCCCCCTGTCTGTTGCAGTCCACACTGGCCAGGAATGGATGGGAGGCCAGTGAGGCCAGGCGGTCCCATTAGCTGTTTTTAAAGGAGTGTAAAGTATGCATTTGGAGGGGGGCAGGGAATTCTTCAATGTTTAAATATTAGAAACTTATTCATATTCGGCAAAGTTCTGTGTGGTCAAGAGGAAATACGTCTGGAGACCGGACCTGGCGTGGCCATGTGTGGACTGTTCTGAAAGGCAGCAAGGGGACAGGGACACACACCCCCTTCTGCCATGGGTCTAGCTGCAGCGCCACCATGCTCAGGTGCAGCCGAGCCCTCCTGCACCACACTCAGCTGCCAGACACTCCTGGCCTTGCCTCACCCAGACAACTGACACCTGGCGAGGAATGAGACTCAGGGGCCGTACCTGTTGACAGCCAGAATTTGGGTGCAGAAGCCCATGCAGGCCCTGTCATGGCTCTCCACACAAGCACAGCGTCGTGTCCACTTGGAGCGCTGTGGGCTCTGCAGGAACAGCCCAGCAGACCTCCTGCCCCGGAAGCTTCCTCTGTAGTTGGACAGTCCATAGGGAACAGTCTGTCTGTAGAGGACAGAGCAGTGAGTGTCAGGGCCACGTCGATGGGGCAAGCCCTGGCCTCCCGCTCATGGGATATGCAGCTGGAGAGGGGGTGGGAGAACGGAGATGTGGGAATAAGAGATGCGGTGCAGTGATGTCCCAGGAACTGGCGTCTACGCCCTGTACTTTGGGTCTCAGGAAGCTTCGGGAGTGAACTGTTTACTCCCACCTCTGTTTCCCCTAAGCCCCCAGAAAATGCACAGGGGCCAAAGGGATGGGAAGATGCAGAGGACCAGGGAACACAGGCAAGGAAATCTCTGAATCCTCCCAGGGCAGAGGCCAGTGCACACTTGGCGTGTACATGTGGGCACTTGGGCACTTTCAGGGAGCAAACCATGGTAAGCATGCCTCCAGTCTGGTCATTTCAGGTGACCCATGTGCTGGTTCCAGTCTTCGTCCCTGAGCCAATCCCTGGACCTGGTCATCAATACTAGTAAGATGCCTTCCTAACCTAGCACTGCAGCTGACCCTGCCACCCACCTCAGCTGTCACTGAATTCCTTCTGTGCACACAGCAGCCTTGCAATCTGCACTAATGGGAATATGACAAATGCAATTATGGCCATTAGAGGTGCATCCTGGCCCTGAACATCATTTCCTCAAAGAGACAAACATCAGAGGAACCCTCTGTGCCCAGCAAGGTACAGCCGAGGACAGAACTGGCCTTGGGAAAAGTCATCTTATAAAAATCCTATTAAAAAGTCTGAAACTTTACCAATTTCATGTGTGTCTAGAGCTGGTGTCATTTGGAACAATAAACGTTTATATCTGTTTCTTATGCTCATGTACATCCGAACTGTTGTGCTCCAGAGAAGGGAGGGAGAAGACTGCCAGGCAGTTCAGTGGGAAAAAGTGAGAAGCATATGCTTAATTCATTAGTACTACTGAACATGCCTGGGAGGCAAATTACTAGTAACTAGCGGAAACTTACGTGGCCAAGACTTACTTTTCCAATAATTGTTTTCTTGACAGTCCCTGAGATTAACCAGCCACCCTCGTTTCTGTGAACCCCGCGGAGTATCACTGATCATTGGCGTCAAAGGGGATTCTGACATCCTTTCTGAGTTTTCAAAATAAAATCAGATTGAATTTACTTTAATTAGAAACACTCGCCACAGAGCCTTCCCAGGGTGGTGAGGGCCAAGGGGACGGCTTCCTGTTGTGATCTGACGCTCAGGAAGAACTTCCTCAGTGTCAGGCAGGAGACCAGCTTCTAGCCACAGGTCGCCCCTCTCATGTTTTCCTCCCCTCACCCCTTCCCACCCAAGTTCTCTGCACGCTCTCCGGATTGAGGCAGGTCCAGTGCTGAGCAGTCCATGCTCCCAAAGTGGAAAAAGCAAGCAGGGTCCAGTCCCGTTCTGAGCTGAACCTTTGCAAAAACCCCTTTTTTCTCAGGCATGGGAAGTGGGGCAGAGTGGGGACAGGGAGCAAAACAATGCAGACATTGTTCTGAGGCTGTAGGTATACTTGCACAGTAATGGGGCCACATTAAATCTCTTAAGTGTTGACATTAAATCCACCCCCCCATTTGTTGGTGAAAATTACATGCAAGGGGGAATGTCTCTCCCATTTTCCCATCAGCATTAAAACCTGCAGTTTTGAAATTGCTGTCCCTGATTATGTCTTTATGAGCACGACCACCCTAAAGGGTTTTAAGTAAGAAAACAAAGCCCCACAGTATTCCTTAATAGAGAAATGCTCAGCGCTTTCCCAAAGGCCACGTTCTAAAGCTAGTATGCAAATGAATGCTCCCGATGTTCAAGGAACTCAAGGAACGTTTGCAGGGAGGCACAGTTCCACAACCTGGGAACCCCTGCCCAGGTCCGAGGGCTCCAAGCACGTATCTGCTGGCAGACCTCGGGTGGGCGGCAAAGCTGAGGGACTGGAGGGCTCCGCGGCTTCCCGACCACAGATAAGGAGCTCCGGTCCCAGAGGAGGCCCACCATCCATAGGTAGAAAATGTGAGTTTTAAATCAATCTGCAAAGCTCTTAGACCTTATCCCCTACCTGGACGAATGCAGCTTCAAAACACTGTGAAAGTTCGGGCTTGATTTTAGCATCCTGGGGTTTTGTGTTGGAGTTCCCTGTTGGAACGTGGAAGCCCACAGGGATTCAGCACCTTCCCTTCCATGCTCCATCCCACAGCAAGGAGGCCCTCATCGACTCCCATGTGGAGTTTCCTTCAAGCTCCATCCATGCCCGTCCTGCAAGCAGCCACCCCTTGTCCTCCCTGGAGGCCTTAGGAGATGTACCCGGAGCCCTGTTCCATTCCCGGTGTCAGGCCCTGGGAGGTAACCTGCGCAGGCCCTGAAGTGGGGGCACTAGGGTGAGGGATTCCAGGATCCCGAACATCTGAAACACAGTTTAGAAGAAGGGCTATGTGACTTTCAGTTCCACTGACTCTTTACATTGGCGCAGGAGACGTGACGAAAGGAGGGATCGGGGGCAGCCCTCGAGCCTGCGGGCCCAGGGCAGGTGCCACTCTGCTCCAGGTCTAAGAGAGTAGAAGGCTGGTCTTCCGGTTCCCCTGAATCAGACCCAGCTCAAGGCAGAGAAGTGAAGATTGTGGGTTGAGCAACTGGTAGTTAATTGTGAGATAATCTAGTCCATCAAGACTAGATTCTTTCCAAGCTAAAAAGTTCAATAATCACAAAATTCATTACAAAGACTCCCCAACATTTCCAAAGAATATATATATGAATGTATGTATGTATCTCCCTAATATTCCAAGTGTGATGGGATAGGAAAGGCCTTCAGGAGTTCACGTGCTGCTGGGGTATGAAAACAGGTAAAGCAAACATACCAGCCAGTATGTGCAGGTGTGTGCCAGGCACACAGAGCTCAGGGAAAGGCCACCTGGAGACTCGTCCTTAGGGTGGAAAGCACACATGTCGTCATCATGATCCCTCTACCCTCTCGACAGTTTCCTGACCTACAAAAAGGCTGTCAGACACACTGCACTGCAGGAAAAATACTTCACAAAGAATTAACAGTAAATTAATGACAGCTACTCTTGTTGCTTATCGGGTCTAGGAACTGTTAACAAGCAGAAAAATCCCACTTACCAGGCCTGCATTTGAGATGTGGGACTAAGTAATAAAAAAAGGTAATAAGGAGACCAGAGTGCCACATGGCACAGTAGTGCCATTCTCAGCCACACCTGCTTCTGCTGGCCTGTCACTCGGCGTGGCCTAGCTAAGAAGCACCGGTCTTTCAGTTTTCTTGGTGCCCTGTCATTTTTCTGAGTGGTTTCTTGAATGGTGACGTGAATGGACCTCAAGGTAGACCCGTGAACGTGAAGTTGAGTTAGCTGAGAACCCCGACCAGCACACCCTCCGGCGGACCAGGCTGGCGTGCTGCTTTACAACAGAGTTTGGAGAATGGGATTCTTGGAGAAGGCAGGCAGCTCCTGTTCTGTGAGAGTTCCGGTTCTAGCACAGAGCTCCTCACAGAAGAGAGGCTGACGAGAAGATCAAGCCAAATGCTCTTAGACAAAACAAAACACCCCTTCAGGCACAACGCCTAGGGTGTCTTTGTGTAATAAATTGTTTCTCAACCGTATGTTCTAGAACATGCAGTATTTGATCAGTGATGGTGGTACCAGAGTCTCATTTACCTGTGTTCTTTACTGACCACCTTTTCCTAAGTGTCATACAGACACATTATTAAAAAGTAAACCTCCCAGTCCCTGTATTCATTCTCCTCTGCAGCACCACACTGAAGCACTATATTTCTCGCTACAAGAGGTTTTTAAATAAGGAAAGTAGACCATTTTTTAAGATTCTGTTTTTACAGTGTTGTCTATTCATAAATGAATGAATGATCTCCACCTTCCTGATCAGGACACTGGCTTCTGTACCTGAGGGTTAAAGGAGAGATACAGATTTTCAAGAGGCCCCAAAAGCAGCACCAAACACTTCATGGGCCAAATTCTAAATTCTCAGGAAAGTTTATCAAATTGTCATGGAAACCACTCTTCATTCTCCCAAAAAAAAAAAAATAGACATTTGAGGAGTGCTTTTCAATGTGCAGGCACTGGACTAGACTCCAAGCCAACATCCATGAGAAGACAGACAAATGACCCTGTACACATACAGTTTTAATCTATCACAGAGGTTAGCAAATGGGCATTTGGTGGGCTTCATCCAATCAACAGAGGGTTTTTTTTAATATGAAAATTTCACATAAATATCCTAATTTCCAGCTTCTCTTAAATAGCTGAAGCTACGCTCACACCAACCACACATTCCAACAGGGGAAATCGTCTGGGGCTGAGGAATGAAATCAGAAACGGGGCATAAGCATGCCCTTGGCCCCGTTCCTCAGCTCCCAGGAGCCGTGCACCTGTCCTCTGCTCATTTCATTACGCGTCTGGCCCTCAGGGGCATCTGACTTTACAAACCCCTCGTCTAGGCTGGTCTCACAAAGTGAAGCCAAACAGATCATATGACACAGTGACGAAATCGGTACTTGATACTATTTTTTATATATATAGCTGTTGTTTTTTATTTTAAAAACCCAAGTTGTGGTTGAGTTCCTCCCCAACAAACAGACCATTTCCACCTCACGATCAGAATGCAAAGCTGACCATCTACCTCCTTTGGTAGATTTTTCCTTCCAAAATGGGAAATGGGAAAACAAAGGTGACATCGCCTTGGGGCCCAGGGGACGTATTGTACAGAAGGATGACCGCTGACCTGTCCTGCAGCCACAAGAGGAACTGCTTCCTACTGGCAGACAGGCAGGAGGCAGCCCCCAGCTGCCAGGCACCAGGGGTCATTAGACACGGCTGCCACCACTCCCCAGAGAAACAGCTCCTACCCCGTGCTTTCTAACTACGGCTCAGTTTCAGATTTTATTAAATTCCTTCCTGAGAAGGCACCACTCACCCGCTCTCCTAAGCTCAGAAATATCTTCTTGGGCAGGAAAAAAAATGCAGATCACCCTCCTTTACTCTCTTTGATA